GCTCACTGCAAGCTCCGCCTCCCAGGTTCACGCCATTCTCCTGCCTCAGCCTCCCGAGTAGCTGGGACTACAGGCGCCCACCACCACGCCCAGCTAATTTTTTTGTATTTTTAGTAGAGACGGGGTTTCACTGTGCTAGCCAGGATGGTCTCGATCTCCTGACCTCGTGATCTGCCCACCTCAGCCTCCCAACATGCTGGGATTACAGGCGTGAGCCACCACGCCACCTGGCCCCATGATTCTTAAAGGACTCAGACAGGTGTGCGGGGTGAAGTGAAACACACTCAACAGAGGGAACAGCATGCATGGAGGCCTGGAGAGTTTGATCTGTTTGAGGAAGTGAAAGACCTTCAGGGTGACTGGGGTATCAATTTTAAGAGTTTGGAAGGGGAAGTAACAATTGAAACTGGGGCATACATAGCAGGCAAAAGCCAGGGTGGGTGTACTCAGAATCAAGGGGTTGGGCATTCTCCGGGAGCAATGGGGAGCCATGGAAGGTTTAAGCCAGAGAGTGAAGCAGTCTAACTAGTTCTTTTATTTTTTTATTTTATTTGTATTTTTGACTGGTTCTTTAAGAAGTTGTCTCAGGCCAGGCACAGTGGGTCACGCCTGTAATCCCAGCACTTTGGGAGGCTGAGACGGGCAGATCACTTGAGGTTAGGAGTTTGAGACCAGCCTGGCCAACATGGTGAAACCCCGTCTCTACTAAAAATACGAAAATTAGCTGGGCATGGTGACGCACATCTGTCATCCCAGCTACTTGGGAGGCTGAGGCAGGGGAATCACTTGAACCTGGGAGGCGAATGTTGCAGTGAGCTGAGATTGCACCACTGCACTCCAGCCTGGGTGACAGAGTGAGACTGGGTCTCAAAAAACAAAAATACGAAACATTGGCCAGGTACCGTAGCTCACACCTGTAATCCTTGCACTTAGGGAGGCTGAGGTGGGTGGATCATCTGAGGTCAGGAGTTCAAGACCAGCCTGGTCAACATGATGAAACCCCTTTTCTACTGAAAATACAAAAAATTAGCCGGGCGTGGTGGCAGGCGCCTGTAATCCCAGTTACTCAGGAGGCTGAGGCAGGAGAATTGCTTGAACCCAGGGGGTGGAGGTTACAGTGAGCCGAGGTTGCGCCACTGCACTCCAGCCTGGGCAACAAGAGCAAAAACTCCATCCAAAAGAAAAAAAAATAATAATACACAAAATGTTTACGCTGTGACACATGCCGTGCCGAGTCCAGCTATAGGGAGGGCTAATAGGACGAATCACTGACCTGAAAAGGCGCCAAGTTGCATCGTGAAACCAGGATGTCATTGCTGTCCTGGTGGGAATCCATCTAGAAAAAAGAAAAATAAAAACTGTTCACAGGGAGGTATCCTCCTTCGCGCAGAGGGCAGTATATCTCCATGGTGTGACTTTGGAGATGGTTTGATAACACAGTCGATAGCTGGGTGCAGTGGTATGCTGTAACTCCAGCAGTTTCTTGGAGGCTGAGCGTGGAAGATCACTTGAAGCCCAGGGTTCAATCAGCTGGGCAACATGGTGAACCCCGTCTTACAAAGAATACAAAAAATTAGCGGTGTGGTGGTGTGCACCTGTAATCCAGCTACTCGGGGAAGGCTGAGGTGGAGAGACTTGTGAGCCCAGGAGGTTGAAGTTGCAGCGGATCCATACCATTGCACTTTAGCCCGACCGTGGTGACAGAGTAAGGATGCTGTCTCCAAAAAAAAAAAAAAATAGCTGAGGTGTGGTGGCATATTCCTGTAGCTCCTAGCTACACAGGAGACTAAGGCAGGAGGACTGCTTGAGCCAGGGAGGTCATGGCTGCACTGAGCCATGATTGTACCACTGCATTCCAGCCTATATGTCAGAGTGAGATCCTGTTTCAAAAAAAAAAGCCCAGAAACATCTTCCCTGAGGTCATATAGTTCCACTCCTGGACAGTGACAGTCACTCTATAAACAGTCAGCTCTTGTGCTCCCAGGGACACTTAGGAGAATGTTTAGAGCTGCCTTGTTTATCATATGGAAAAGGGGAGACCATTGCAAAGTCCCTCAACAAGAGACTGCCTAAGCAAATTGCAATCTGGTTGAATACTGAAATATGGTACAGCCAGGAAAACGAATTTAACCAGAATGACTAATATCATTCTGTATGAAGCTTTATAAACTCTTGTAGCGTGAAAAAGCACATTGCAGAGGGATATCTGCAGTATAATACTACACATTTACCATTCATGAGATTTTTTTTTTTTTTTTTTTTTTGAGACAGAGTTTCTCTCCTGTTGCCCAGGCTGGAGTGCAATGGCACGATCTCGGCTCACCGCAACCTCCGCCTCCCAGGTTCAGTTCTCCTGCCTCAGCCTCCCGAGTAGCTGGATTACAGGCATGTGCCACCATGCCCGGCTAATTTTGTATTTTTAGTAGAGACGGGGTTTCTCCATGTTGGTCAGGCTGGTCTCGAACTCCCGACCTCAGGTGATCTGCCCATCTCGGCCTCCCAAAGTGCTGGGATTACAGACATGAGCCACCTTGCCCAGCCACAGTTCATAACATTTAAGACTAGATTGTAGAGGATATGAAAATGATAAACACTACTTCAGGGTCGGGCACAGTGGCTTATGCCTATAATCCCAGCACTTTGGAGGCTGAGCTACTCACCCTCCCAGCTACTCAGGAGGCTGAGGTGGGAGGATCGCTTGAGCCCCGGAGTTTGAGACCAGCTTGGACAACATGGTGAGACCCGTTCTCTACAAAAACTACAAAAATCAGCTGGGCATGGTGGCATGCGCCTGTAGTTCCAGCTTCTTGGGAGGCTGAGGCAGGAGGACTGCTTTAGTCCAGGAAGCCGAGGGTACAGTGAGCTATGATCGCACCACCGCACTCCAGCCACACCCAGCTAATTTATTTCATTTTTAGTTTTTTTAGATATGGGGGGTCTCCACTATGTTGCCTAGGCTAGTCTTGAACTCCTAGGTTCAAGTGATTCTCCCGCCTTAGCCTCTCAGAGTGCTGGATTACAGATGTGAGCCACCATACCCAGCCTTAGATAAAATTACTTATTTATTTTATTTTATTTTGTTTTATACAGAGCCTCACTCTTTCACCCAGGCTGGAGTGCAGTGGTGTGATCTCGGCTCACTGCAACCTCCACCTCCAGGTTCAAGCAATTCTCTTGCCTCAGCCTCCTGAGTAGCTGCAATTACAGGTGCGCACCCCCCACACCCAGCTAATTTTTGTATTTTTAGTAGAGACGAGGTTTTGCCATGTTGGCCAGGCTGGTCTCGAACTCCTGACCTCAAGTGCTTCACCTGCCTCAACTTCCCAAAGTGCTGGGATTATAGGTGTGGGCCACCGCACCCAGCCAGATATAATTTTTTTTTTTTTTTTTTGAGACAGAGTCTTGCTTTGTCACCAGGCTGGAGTGCAGTGTCACAATCTCGGCTCACTGCAACCTCTGCCTCCTGGGTTCAAGTGATTGTCCTGCCTCAACCTCCCAAGTAGCTGGGACTACAGGTGCATGCCACCATGGCCGGCCAATTTTTTTTTTTTTTTTTTAGATCTCACTCTGTCCAGCTCGGCTGGAGCTCAGTGGCATGATCTTGGCTCACTGCAACCTCCGCCTCCCGGGTTCAGGCAATTCTTCTGCCTCAGACTCCCGAGGAGTTGGGATTACAGGTGCGTGCCACCAGGCTCAGCAAATTTTTTTTTTTTTTTTTTTTAGTAGAGACGGGGTTTCACCATGCTGGCCAGGCTGGTCTAGAACCCCTGACTTCGTGACCCGCCTGCCTCGGCCTCCCAGAGTCCTGGGATTACAGGCATGAGCCACTGCACTTGGCCTAATTTTTGTGTTTTTAGTAGAGACGGGGGTTTCACCATGTTGGCCAGGCTGGTCTGGAACTCCTGACCTCAGGTGATGTGTCCACCTCAGTTTCCCAAAGTGCTGGGATTACAGGCATAAGCCACTATGCCCACACCACAGATACAATTTTGTTTTTTCTCTTTTTTTTTTGAGATGGAGTCTTACTCTGTCACCCAGGCTGGAGTGCAGTGGTGCAGTCTCGGCTCACTGCAACCTCTGCCTCCCGTGTTCAAGCAATTCTCCTGCCTCAGCCTCCTGAGTAGCTGGGATTACAGGCATGCACCACCACGCTCGGCTAATTTTTGTATTTTTTAGTAGAGATGTTGTTTCACCATATTGGCCAGACTGGTCTTGAAGACCTGACCTTGTGATCCGCCCGCCTCAGCCTCCCAAAGTGCTGGGATTACAGGCATGAGCCGCCACACCCAGCTGACAGATACAATTTTTTTTTTTTTTTTTTCGAGACGGAGTCTCGCTCTGTCGCCCAGGCTGGAGTGCAGTGGTGCAATCTTGGCTCACTGCAAGCTCTACCTCCTGGGTTCACACCATTCTCCTGCTTCATCCTCCCGAGTAGCTGAGACTACAGGCGCCCGCCACCACGCCCGGCTAATTTTTTGTGTTTTTTAGTAGAGATGGAGTTTCACTGTGTTAGCCAGGATGGTCTCGATATCCTGACCTTGTGATCCGCCCACCTCAGCCTGTGAAAGTGCTGAGATTACAGGCGTGAGCCGCTGCACCCGGCCAACAGATACAATTTTTAAATGACATCAATAGAAAGAAAGATGCCCTGGGTAGCTGGTGTGGGAAATTGCAGCAAGTCTGGAGACTGGATTGGGGTTGAGGTTTGCATTTGAAGGCGGTAGATGGATCCCCAGGACATGGAGAGTGCAGGAAGAGCAGGTCTTGGTAACCAATATGTTGTGGAGTTGGTGGGAGAGGCTGAAGATAAGGACCAAGTTCCTGGTTTGAAGAACTGGGTAGAAGCCACACACACTGGCTCATACCCATAATCCCATCAACTCCAGAGACCGAGGTGGGAGGATCGCTGGAGCACTGGAGGTTGAGGCTGCAGTGAGCTAGGATTGTACCACTGCACTGCAGCCTGGGTGGCAAAGAAAGACCCCAACCCTTAAAAAATAAAATAAAATAAAATAAAATAATTGGGCAGAGGAGGGGAGGGTTGGAGTTTGCCGACCACAGGTAAGATGTGTTGTTTGGAACAAAGCATATGTAAGTGGGGGCCTGTGATGTCCAGGGGGAGACAGCCAGGATGTGACTGGATGTTTCTCCAGCCAGGAAGGGGCTGGAGTTCAGGGAGATGCCAGACAATTGCAGCAGTTTGTAGAGTTATGTGGGTCAGGCTAGGATTAGTTTTGCTGCAGGAATAAGCAGTCCCCCTAAATCTTAAGACAATTGAGGTTTACCTAAAATCAGCCAAGCACGGTGGCTCAGGCCCGTAATCCCAGCACTTTGGGAGGCCAAGGTGTGTGGATCACCTGAGGTCAGGAGTTTGAGAACAGTCTGGCCAACATGGTGAAACCTTGTCTCTTCCAAAAATACAAAAAGTAGCCCTAGCCGGGTGTGGTGGCACGCACCTGTATTCCCAGCCATTCAGGAGGCTGAGACAGGGGAATCACTTGAACCCAGGAGGTGGAGGTTGCAGCGAGCTGAGATCACACCACTGCTCTTCAGGCTGGGCGACAGCAAGACTCCATCTCAAAAAAAAAAAAAGGTTCACCTAAAATCAAGTACAGGTTGGATGGTTCACCTCTATCTTATAGCTTCACCATCTGGCACAAGAAGCCTTCAACATACCTCAGGTGGTGAAGGTGACAAGAGGATTTATTTCCAGGCTTGGAAATGTGCCCATCCCTTTGGCCAGAAACCAGTGCAATTGGCCCCATCCTAGCTGCAAGGGAGGCTGGGAAATGTAGTCCTCCTGTGAGGCCACAGCATGGTCAACATACGCACTGTCCTCTGCCCAGGGGCAACGTGACTGAAGCTGCAGGTGGGGGAGGGGCCTCAGAGGGAGTGTGAAGGCAGACATTGGGTCTGCAGGGTCTTCGGGTCTGACGGTAGCACATGACATGACTCCTGACCTCATTTCTCCCCTGGTCCAGGTATCACTCCTCCTTGTTTCAATCTCTTCGCCCTCTTCGATGCTCAGGCCCAAGTCTGGTTGCCCCCAAACCACATCCTAGAGATCCCCAGAGACGCAAGCCTGATGCTGTATTTCCGCATGAGGTGGGTGGAGACCCCTTTGCAAAGCTCGTCCCCTCCTGTGCTGAAGCTGGTCTGACTCTGTTCTAAGCCCCAGCTTCGTCCCTCCCGTCCTGCAGGTTTTATTTCCGGAACTGGCATGGCATGAATCCTCAGGAGCCGGCTGTGTACCGTTGTGGGCCCCCAGGAACCGAGGCATCCTCAGATCAGACAGCACAGGGGATGCAACTCCTGGACCCAGCCTCATTTGAGTACCTCTTTGAGCAGGTATGAGCAGGGCTGCGGGGGGCAAGACTGTTTGTGGGAGATTTAGGGGCAGTTAAGGAGCCCCCATTTCCCTCCCTGATTCATTATAGCTAATGGGTTTCAACTCATGCCATCTGGGGATCTTTTTTTTTTTTTTGAAATGGAGTCTCGCTCTGTCACGCAGATTGGAGTGCAGTGGCGTAATCTCAGCTCACTGCAACCTCCACCTCCCAGGTTGAAGCGATTCTCCCATCTCAGCCTCCCAAGTAGCTGAGATTACAGGTGCCCGCCACCACCCCCAGCTAATTTTTCTATTTGTAGTAAAGCCGGGGTTTCACCATGTTGGCCATGCTGGTCTCAAACTCCTAACCTCAAGTGATTCACCTGCCTCAGCCCCCCAAAGTATGGGATTACAGGTGTGAGCCACCATGCCCAGCTAAGAGTTCAGGTTGAAGGGGAAAGAGTGCTGTGATTGATTAGTAATGTCTGTCACAGACACAAGATTGACAAGAGGAGGGGTGTATGCTGTATATTTGGCCTTTCCAGTAAATGGTGGTCTCTCCCCTCCTCAAGGTGGTGAGATGCAGGAAATTAGAGTTCTCTGGCTAGAGCAAGCTTGTCCAACCCCTGACCTGTGGACTACATGCTGTCCAGGACAGCTTTGAATGAAGCCTGACATAAATTCCTAAACTGTCTTAAAGTATTCTGAGATTTTGCTGCAATTTTTTTTTTTTTTTTTTGAGATGGAGTTTCGTTCTTGTTGCCCACGCTGGAGTGCAATGTCACAATCTCGGCTCACTGCAACCTCCACCTCCCGGGTTCAGGTGATTCTCCTGCCTCAGCTTCCCGAGTAGCTGGGATTACAGGCAGGTGCCACCACGCCTGGCTAATTTTGTATTTTTAGTAGAAGTGGGGTTTCTCCATGTTGGTCAGGCTGGTCTCAAACTCCTGACCTCAGGTGATGCGCCCGCCTCGGCCTCCCAAAGTGCTGGGATTATAGGCGTGAGCCACTGCGCCCGGCTTGTGATTTTTTTTTTCTTTTACTTTTCTTTTCTTTTTTTTTTTAGTTCATCAGCTATCATTAGTGTTACTGTATTTTATGTGTGGCCCAAGACAGTTCTTCTTCCAGTGTGGTCCAGGGTAGTCAAAAGATTGGATACCTCTGGGTTAGAGAGTGAACGCATTCTCACACCTCCCTTTCTGCTCAATTTCCTGTTCCCAGGGCAAGCATGAGTTTGTGAATGACGTGGCATCACTGTGGGAGCTGTCGAGTGAGGAGGAGATCCACCACTTTAAGAATGAGAGCCTGGGCATGGCCTTTCTGCACCTCTGTCACCTCGCTCTCCGCCGTGGCGTCCCCCTGGAGGAGGTGGCCAAGAAGACCAGGTGTCTGGGAATGGGGTGGGGATGCTGTGTAGGCAGGGGGAAGTGTCCTGAGCATCTGGGAGCCGGGGTAGACTTCGCATATTGCCGTGCCTCTACTTTTTTTTTTTGAGCCAGAGTCTCACTCTGTCACTCAGGCTAGAGTGCAGTGGCACGATCTCGGCTCACTGCAACCTCTGCGTCCCAGGTTCAAGAGATTCTCCTTCGTCAGCCTCCTGAGTAGCTGGGATTACAGGTGCCCGCCATCATGCCCAGCTAATTTTTGTATTTTTAGTAGAGACAGACTGAGTTTCTTCATGTTGGCCAGGCGGGTCTCGAACTGCTGACCTCAAGCGATCCTTCCGCCTTGGCCTCCCAAGTAGCTGAGACTATAGGCTCAATTCACCACCCTGGCTAGTGTGCCTGTTATCTAGATGAGGCAGCTGAGGCTCAAAGAGGTTAAGCCACTTGCCCTGTGTCACCCAGCTGGGTCTGCAACCCAGGTCCCTGACCAGCCCCTCCCTGTGTTCCCCCCAGCTTCAAGGACTGTATCCCGCTCTCCTTCCGTCGGCAGATCCGGCAGCACAGCGCCCTGACCCGGCTGCGCCTTCGGAACGTCTTCCGCAGGTTCCTGCAGGACTTCCAGCCGGACAGGCTCTCCCAGCAGATGGTCATGGTCAAATACCTGGCCACACTCGAACGGCTGGCACCCCGCTTTGGCACAGAGCGTGTGCCCGTGTGCCACCTGAGGCTGCTGGCCCAGGCAGAGGGGGAGCCCTGCTACATCCGGGACAGTGGGGAGGCCCCTACAGACCCTGGCCCCGAGTCTGCTGCTGGACCCCCAACCCATGAGGTGCTGGTGACAGGCACTGGTGGCATCCAGTGGTGGCCAGTACAGGAGGAGGTGAACAAGGAGGAGGTGAGCAAGGTGCCTCTTCCGCCCTGGAGGTTCAGGTTGGGCTGGGGTGGGGGGGGTCTCTGTTCATCCTTGGCCTTGGCCTCTGAGGGTGGCTGACCTGAGCCCTCTCCCCACATGGCTCTGGGGCACCTGTCTGCTGGGGCCAGTTTCTTGGAGAAGGTCCTCCATCTGCTTACCCCTTGGGGACCTTATTTCTGGAGTCTGCACCTCCAGGGAACCCCTTCATCTGGGGACTGGCACCTGAGTGTGAGGGGGTCAGGATTCCGCTCTCTGCCGTCCCTAAGGGTCCGGCTTCCAGCATGTGTATGTTATGGGGTGGGTCCCCATCCCACCTGTGACACTGGGACTTGGGAGGTCAACCTAGGTTGGTGCCTGGCCCTTCTGGCTCCAGTCTCCCCCCAGGGGAAAGTGCAGAAGTATAAACGGGCATTGCCCTCTCCGTCCTCTGCCCCACTTGCGGGGTGTTCAGGGTTCTAGTGGCGGCAGCGGCAGGAACCCCCAAGCCAGCCTGTCTGGGAAGAAGGCCAAGGCTCACAAGGCAATCGGCCAGCCGGCGGACAGGCTGCGGGAGCCACTGTGGGCCTACTTCTGCGACTTCCGGGACATCACCCACGTGGTGCTGAAAGAGTGCTGTGTCAGCATCCACCGGCAGGACAACAAGTGCCTGGTGAGGCCCGGGGAGGGGGCCGGGCTAAGGACCGCCATGGCTTGGGAGGACACTCTCCTGATGCTCCCCTGGCTGGCAGGAGCTGAGCCTGCCTTCCCGGGCTGCGGCGCTGTCCTTCGTGTCGCTGGTGGACGGCTATTTCCGCCTGACGGCCGACTCCAGCCACTACCTGTGCCACGAGGTGGCTCCCCCACGGCTGGTGATGAGCATCCAGGATGGGATCCACGGACCCCTGCTGTGAGTGCTGGGTGGGGAGGCACTGGGGGCCACTGCCAAGGCTGCCAACTAGACTGTGAGCCCTAGGGGCTGTGCAGGGTGTGCGTGTGGGTGCACGTCTTTGTCGCTCAAGCTGGAGTGCGGTGGCGTGATCTCAGCTCACTGCAGCCTCCGCCTCCCGGGTTCAAGTGATTCTCCTGCCTCAGCCTCCCAACTGACTACCTGGGACTACAGGCACTCGCCACCACGCCAGGCTAATTTTTGCATTTTTGTAGAGGTGGGGTTTCATCATATTGGCCAGGCTAGTCTCGAACTCCTGACCTCAGGTGATCCACCTGCCTCCACCTCCCAAAGTGCTGGGATTACAGGCGTGAGCCACCACGCCCTGCCGTGACTGTCATGGCGTGTTGAGGTTGTCATTGCACAGAACTGGTGATTTTCACGGGACTGTCGTTACCCTGGTGCTGGTGATCATTCAGCGGTATGTTGGATGCTTCCGCCTCTGCAGGCGGCTGCCCATGCTGGCAACTTGTGAGTCACTGTCTCAGCGGTCCTGTGTGTGACTTGTGAGCCTGAGGGTGTGAAGTTGCCAGTACTTATGGCATCATCAGGTGCAGGGGTGTGTGTGGCTGTCCTTTGTGCTGCCAAGTCGTGATTTGTGGCTGTCTCCTTGTTGGATCACTGCTCCTGTGACTCTGACCCTTGTCCTACTTGTGATATCAGGGGAGGGGGAAGTGGGCATTTCACCTTATGAGGCCTGTGGCTGTGACAGCTGTCAAGGCTATATGTAGGCCGGGCGCGGTGGCTCAAGCCTGTAATCCCAGCTTGGAAGGCTGGAACGGGCGGATCACGAGGTCAGGAGATTGGACATCCTAGGCTAACACGGTGAAACACCCGTTCCTACTAAAAAGTACAAAAACTAGCCAAGGCCGAGGTGGCGGGCACACACTGTAGTCCAGTTTACTCAGGAGGCTGAGGCAGGAAAATGGCGTAAACCTGGAGGCGGAGCTTGGCAGTGAGCTGAGAACCGGCCACTGCACTCCAGCCTGGGTGACAGAAGGAGACTCCGTCTCCAAAAAAAAAAAAAAAAAAGGCTATATGTGTGCTGCCCCTGTACAGACAGGTGTTAGGGACCACCGTGTGTCAGCCACTGCACATGTAGGTGTCTGGGCCTATGTAGCCATGACACTTTATAGTGCATGTTTGTGTCACCTCTGTGTCTGGGTTGCCCGGCCCTGTGTTGCCTTGTCACACTGAGTGATTAGGTGTGTCTGGGATTGTTGTCCTTTGCTTGTGTGATTAGCCATCTATCTCGCTTGTCCCCTTGTGAGGTGGTGGGCCGTGGCTGGGTGTGCGCCCATCCACGGACCCTGATGGCTGTGTTCCTGTCTTGGAGTGTGGTCACCTCGTCAGGCCCATGCTGGCGTACAAGTACAAGAGCAGAGTGGCTGGCTGTGGTGCTCACGCTCGTAATCCCAGCCGCTTTAGGAGGCACGAGTGTGCGAGAATCACGTTGAGCCCAGAAGTTCAAGAAGCAGCCATGGACGTAGCAAGGTTCTTGTAACTGCTGAAAATACAAAATTAGCCGGAGCGCACTAGTAATACCTGCTCTTCAGGAGGCTGAAGTGGAGGAAGAATCGCTTGAGCTGGGAAGGTTCAGGCTGAGTGAGCGCAGAGTCATGCACGCATGCACTCCAGCCTAGGGCAACAGGCAAGACCCCGTCTCAAAAAAAAAAAAAAAAAAAAGAGACAGGTAGCCAGGCACGGTGGCTTCATGCCTGTAATCCCAGCACTCTGGGAGACCTGAGGACTGGCGATCAACCTGAGGTCAGGAGTTTGAGCACCCAGGCTGCGCTAACATGGTGAAACCCCCCTCTCTGTTTTTGTTTTTGTTTTGTTATTTGATTTTGAGGCGGAGTCTCGCTCTGTCCGCCCCAGCTGGAGTGACAGTGGCGGCAATCTTGGCTCACTGCAAGCTCCGCCCTCCTCGCGTTCATGCCATTCTCCTGCCTCAAGCCTCCCGAGTAGCGACTCACAGGCGCCCGCCAACCACACCCTGGCTAAGTTTCTTGTAAATTTTTAGTAGGACGCGCGAGCTTCACCGCTGTTAGCCAGGATGGTTTCGATCTCCTGACCTCGTGATCCACCCACCGCTCGCCTCCCAAAGTGCTGGATTACAAGCGTAAGCCACTGTGCCCGCCCCCTCTCTCTCAGAAGAACATAAACAATTGCGGCCCGGCGCGGTGGCTCAGCCCTGTTAATCAGCACTTTGGGAGGCCCGAGACGGCAGATCACAAGTCAGGAGATCGAGACCGGTGAACCCCCATCTCGAGCGTAAAAATATACAAAAAACTAGCGGGCGAGGTGGCAGGCGCCCTGTAGTCCCAGCTATTGGAGGCTGAAGGCAGGAAATGGCATAACAACCCGGGAGGCGGAGCTTGCAGTGAGCTGAGATTCGGCCACAGCACTGCAGCGCTGGGCGACAGCAGAGCGAAAAGATCCGCTCAAAAAAAAAAAAAAAAAAAACATAAAAATTAGCTGGGCATGGTGGCAGGCACCTGTAATCCCAGCTACTGGGGAGGCTGAGGCAAGAGAATTGCTTGAACCCAGGTGGGTGGAGGTTGCAGTGAACTGAGATCGCGCCATTGCACTCCAGCCTGGGTGACGAGCAAAACTCTGTCTCAAAAAAACAAACAGAAAAGCAGGTGTGTGCGTCCTGCTGCGCTGTGTCTCCATGTAAGGGGCTGTGTGTGTCCAGAGTTAGTGTCCTCACAAGAGTGGCTGTGTCTCACACTTGTCCTAGCTGTGTGTGTGACCTCTAAGCAGGTAATGAGTGTCATTGTTCCCGGGTATGGGTCCAGCAGTCGCCCAGGTGGCCTGATAGTCCCCCTGGACCCCTTTCCAGGGAGCCGTTTGTGCAGGCCAAGCTGCGGCCCGAGGACGGCCTGTACCTCATTCAGTGGAGCACCAGCCACCCCTACCGCCTGATCCTCACAGTGGCCCAGTGTAGCCAGGTGGGCCCAGGGCTGGGGGCTGGGGCTGGGGCTGGACACGCTCCCTGCCTGGTCCCTTGCTCACTGCTCCCATCTCTGCCACCTCCCGCCAGGCACCAGACGGCACACAGAGCTTGCGGCTCCGGAAGTTCCCCATTGAGCAGCAGGCCGGGGCCTTTGTGCTGGAGGGCTGGGGCCGGTCCTTCCCCAGCGTTCGGGAACTTGGGGCCGCCTTGCAGGGCTGCTTGCTGAGGGCCGGGGACGACTGCTTCTCTCTGCGTCGCTGTTGCCTGCCCCAACCAGGAGGTACGACGATGGGGGGACCTCTGGGTGGGATGTGGCATCTCTCCCCCAGGCCCACCCTCCATGACTTCACACCTGCCTCCAGAAACCTCCAACCTCATCATCATGCGGGGGGCTCGGGCCAGCACCAGGACACTCAACCTCAGCCAGCTCAGCTTCCACCGGGTTGACCAGAAGGAGATCACCCAGGTGGGTGCAGGGAAGGGGCCCGGGGCAAGGGCAGGGCCACTGGGGATATGGGTGCTGGGGGCCTTGGGAGATCAGCTGCAAACTCTCACCACGGCAGTGTTCTGTGCCACATGGTTCCGCAGCTGTCCCACTTGGGCCAGGGCACAAGGACCAACGTGTACGAGGGCCGCCTGCGAGTGGAGGGCAGTGGGGACCCTGAGGAGGGCAAGATGGACAACGAGGACCCCCTCGTGCCTGGAAGGGACCGTGGGCAGGAGCTACGAGTGGTGCTCAAAGTGCTGGACCCGAGTCACCATGACATCGCCCTGGTGAGCGGCAGGGCCAGGCCTGGGGGGTCTGGAGGAGGCAGGATGGGAGGGGTGTGGCTGTGGAGGAGGTGGGATAGGAGGGGTCGGCTTTGCAGCCACCTGACCTGCACGACTGCTTCTCTCTGCGTCGCTGTTGCCTGCCCCAACCAGGAGGTACGACGATGGGGGGACCTCTGGGTGGGATGTGGCATCTCTCCCCCAGGCCCACCCTCCATGACTTCACACCTGCCTCCAGAAACCTCCAACCTCATCATCATGCGGGGGGCTCGGGCCAGCACCAGGACACTCAACCTCAGCCAGCTCAGCTTCCACCGGGTTGACCAGAAGGAGATCACCCAGGTGGGTGCAGGGAAGGGGCCCGGGGCAAGGGCAGGGCCACTGGGGATATGGGTGCTGGGGGCCTTGGGAGATCAGCTGCAAACTGCACTCCAGCCTGGGTGACAGAAGGAGACTCCGTCTCCAAAAAAAAAATAAAAAAAAGGCTATATGTGTGCTGCCCCCTGTACAGACAGGTGTTAGGGACCACGTGTGTCAGCCACTGCACATGTAGGTGTCTGGGCCTATGTAGCCATGACACTTTATAGTGCATGTTTGTGTCACCTCTGTGTCTGGGTTGCCCCGGCCCCTGTGTTGCCTTGTCACACTGAGTGATTAGGTGTGTCTGGGATTGTTGTCCTTTGCTTGTGTGATTAGCCATCTATCGTGTGTCACCCTTGTGAGTGGTGGTGGCCGTGGCTGGGTGTGCGCCCATCCGGCTCCTGATGGCTGTTTCCTGTCTTGGAGTGTGTGTCACCTCGTCAGGGCCCATCTGGCGTCAAGTACAAGAGCAGGAGTGGGCTGGCTGTGGTGGCTCACGCCTGTAATCCCAGCGCTTTAGGAGGCCGAGGTGGGAGAATCACTTGAGCCCAGGAGTTCAAGAGCAGCCTGGGCAACGTAGCAAGGTCTTGTAACTGCTGAAAATACAAAAATTAGCCGGGCGCACCTGTAATCCTGGCTCTTCAGGAGGCTGAAGTGGGAGAATCGCTTGAGCCTGGGAGGTTCAGGCTGAAGTGAGCCGAGATCATGCCGCTGCACTCCAGCCTGGGCAACAGGGCAAGACCCCGTCTCAAAAAAAAATACAAAAATTAGCCAGATGTGGCAGTGTGC